GTAAAGATGCTCTGGTCAGAACAAGATAAGCTCTCAAACCTTATGAAGAATACTAGACTATGTGTTTAACAAAGGTATTGCATTTCTTTCAGAACCTCAGTAATCAAAAGATGTTTCGGTCAGAAATGTCCTATATAAGATGGAAACCTTTTGGTTCTCCATACTCTAAAGATATCAAACGTGTCACTTAGTTAGATGCATTGATTAACATGTGTAACCCTTGGTTATGCTTAATAAACACACCCTATCCAATATATGCAATGAGAAGTGTGCATATTTTTCTTTAAATTAATTGAAATCATAATTATTACTCTCATTTAATGCTCCTAATTATTGTGTTTATTCTTTTTATTTTATTTTCTCTCACTTTTCAAACAATATAAATCACACACGTTCACCTCACTCCCACACATTAGAAACCCTAAACCCTATTTTCTCTCAAACGTTCAACAAGTTATCTTCTTCTCTCAACAAACCTCCATCAATTTTCATCTCTCTTCAGCAATGATGACTCCTAATCAACAAGTTGTTGTTGATTTCGTAAAAGAGGTGGAACAAAGTATGATTTCAAAAACTCTGTCTTCATCAACCATCGCCCCGCCTTAATCAACCACGGTTTCTCCATCTTCAACAGTTCCCCCATCAACTTCATTTGTTCCTTCATATTTTACAAACCTTGTTGATGTTAATCACATTACACATAGAGGCTCTCAAGTTCATTGCAACTTAAAACCAGCAGAGTTGATTGTTATTAAGGAATTAATGGTTGACTTTGACAATCTTGCTGCAAATTGGTGTGATTTAAAAGAGGAATTAAAAGCTCAAGTCCGGGAAAACTATTTTCAAAGGCTTCATGGTTCTATCTATGAGGCGCTAGTTATAGATTTCTAGAAAAATATTGATTGTGATGATTTTCACATTGTTTTGGATGTTATTGGGCAGAGAATCATTATTACTGAAGAGTCCATTGCAAAACTATTAGTATTAACGTTTTTGAAAGGAAAATGTGTGTATGGATTGGACAATAAATCAAAGGATACAAATAAATCTCTAGATCAACTATTGTTTACGAATTTCTCAGCTGAGAAATCTAAGTACAAAAGCAAGGATCTTCATGATAATATCAGTGTGTGGTACTAGATTATTCTGGGTTGCATAAACCCTAGACCTCCTTCAAGCTCCTATGATTATTTCAACATTAATCAGAAGTTCATGTTGTACTTTCTAATTTCCAAACAGAAGATTAATCTTCACTTTATTCTGTTTAATTATCTGAGGGATTCTATTAGGAAGTCCAAAACCACTTCCCTTCCGAACAAAAAGGTATCTCCTAATATTCCTTGTGGACGTCTTCTAATGGATATTTTTGTTGAAAATGGCTTGGTAAGGTTTTTGGTCGAAGAGGCCAACTATAAAGAGGATCTGACTCCAAGCATTGGAGATTCCTTCAATGGGAAAACTTTGAAGAATATGAGGATAATTAAAGAACTCAAGGTCAATCCTTTGATTGAACCGTCTGAGAATTATCATCATAAAAGAGTTCTTATGAATAACTATCCTCTGTTCTCCAAGCAAGATTCAGTATCCAGCGTGGTTGCATATGTTCTAATGATGCAACAAGAAGGACATGATATGTCAAGCTTTAATTAATTAAACTTTCCTACTGAGGGTATTGACTGTTCTATTGGTAAAAGAAAGAAGTTCAAATGCTTCTGAACTAAAGAAGAAGAAGAAGAAGAAGAAGAAGAAGAAGAAGAAGAAGTCTGGTTTTTTAAAAGATGCCATTCTGGGAGCTGGAACTTCTGTAACATCTAGTAAGTCTAATACTTATGTACTTGTTCCATTGTCTGTTTCTAATACTATTAATGTATGTTCATCCACAACCTCTAACACACAAATTAATCCTCTTTCACCACCAACCATAATTACACATGTTTCTGACTCTACTACCACTTTAATCATGTTTCCATCTATTTCCTTTACACCATAATCGTTAACAATTCCTGAATATCAACCAACAATCTACACTCCTCCATCTGATGATCTTAACTCTTTTCTGCTTCAATAGAAACCACCACCATTTATGAATCTCAACCCACCACCACAAAAGCTTTTGATCTAAATCCTATTCCATCTCTCACTACCATTATTCCATCAGAACCAATTCACACTTTTACATCTCCATTAACCTCATCTCAATATCTTCCACAAACTTCTCATTTTTCAACTTTCGATACAAATCTTCATGTTGCCTTCTTTAACAAAGAAACTACTATTCATGACTCACCCATTATTTATCCTGATCCAGTTTTTCCCTCTGATCACGAAATGTCTGAAAGGAAAATTTCTGATAATCGTGGAGCTGTTAAGATTTCCATAATTGAACCTTTCACTTGTTCTGAACTTTTCAATATAATTGAACAACCGATATCATAAAATCCTTCTGATCAAACTTTTGAACTAAATCATCGTGAACCTACCCAAGCCTTGGTTGTTTATGAAAAACCTGCTCCAAAAACCTTGGATGAATGCATTAATACTTTAAGAATCAAGGCTAAGAAAAAGGTTGCTAAGTTAAGGGAAGAGGCAAGTATGAGTACCGAGCCTCAGAACATGGATGGTTTTTGGAAAAAATTTCAAAAGTTGATGTCTTCTGAATTTGTAAGAATAAATTCTTTTGCTGAATCATCCATAGTTTGGGATGTTCAGATTGTAACTGAAAGTAAAAAAACAAGAGAAAGAACCAGACTACTTGAATTGCTTGCTACTAAAACAACCGGCTAAAAATCATCAAACAATGAAGTCGCCCTCGAATATCTTTTATCCCACATGAAGGGAAAGGTGAACATCAAGAAAACCGGAGACATGAGAAGTCATGGTCTTGAGACCGAGAGATCGAGTAAGGGAGTCTGTTACACGGAGGGAAGGTATTAGCATCCCACACGCCCGTAGTACTCTATGGTATCCACTCTTGTTATCTATCTTATGGGCGTGTTTATCCTTTGTCTACTGCTTACTATTAAGGAAGAATGCATTCAAAAGAAATATGGGGAAAAGAAGGAAGTATTTACGAATTTTGCTCGGTTAGGCCCCACGACCTGTTGCCTACGTATCCCTTTCGAGGAATCAAAGTGTTGTAGTTTGGCTCGCATGTTTTTGTTTGTTTTGTGTTTTTAACGGAACAATGTTAAGCTTCACATTCTACCGATGCTCGATCCTGGGAGAGTCACGCGTCTGTAGTAGAAAGGTATTAAAATACTCACACCTGACGAGGTATCTTTGAAAGAAAAAATGCCTGAGGGCGGATAATGTTTCGTACACAATGTTTTAGTGAGTAGACATGGATGCAACCCGACCTTTGGGGATTTACGCATCATATCACCTAAAGTAGAACTAACACATCCTTTTGAGAGTTTCGATGAAAGGCCCGAAGGCGGAAAGAGTTTGGATTGGTTGATATTTTTTTACCTTGAAAAAAGGTTTTTGCATTATTAGAGTGTTTTTGTGATTTGCCAAGAAAAAAAAGGTTTTAGCTTTAATGCATATACAAAAAGGAAGAAAAGAGTCCACAGGATACTAGCCTATTTCTAATCCTAATGTTATCATACAATGGTGGTCCTAAGGTTTGGATTAACAAAAGGGAAACGTCTACCTAATGTTATCAAGCATGGTTCACAACCTAAGGTATAACTTGTATCCGAAAGGAACAAGAACATCCTAAGAGAACATGGTATAGAAAGCGAGTGAGAAAGCAAACTCGAAAGAGCACACACATAAAATGGTAAAGAAATGAAGCTAAATGCTTTAGTCAAGGGCAGTGGATCACCCAAGACAAACAAGCGGGAGTGAAATATAAAAGAAGATAAATGCTTTAGCTAAGGGGAGCGGATCACCCGAAGCAAACAATCGGGAATAGGATGTAAAACAAAAATGTCATGTCCAAAATAATTAAACACCTAACCAAGATATAGAAGATCAAGGTAGGAGATAAAAGGTAATATGAATAATCACGGAGTGTCTACATTGGCCAATGCAAACTCCTGACAAAGCGTGGGGGTTGTTTGTGAACCCTTCTCCATATGACTGACTCAATACACATGATCTGCATGATTCTGAAGCATCGACATACAACGTGAGCTAAGGATGACACATACTATAATGTGTGGGGGTTGGCTACTAACCCTCTCTGCTCGCCTCCTTTTGAGGACTTATCATCTGTAATAAAATATATGCGGGCACGAATGTTAGCACACCTGCAGAATACCTACTTCAAAGGTAGGGTTTTAAGCAAACACAAGTAGCAAACAAGTCACGTATGCGGAATTGCCTTAAAAAAGTATTTAAATAAACCAGAGGGATTCCTGACATATATCAGCAACATAGATCCCTTTCATACATCTCTACCTTACTTCTCATGGCATCAGAAAGCAGTAAAGTCCTACTTCTCATGATCTCTAGAAAAGCGGTAAAGCATGCATCTTTATTCATACTTCTCATGGCATCAGAAAGAAGTAGGCAATACGGAGATGAGGAATAAAAAAAAGTCACAATGATACCTAACGGAGAAGGTCCGTTTCCTATTTAAGGCCCCGTAAGCGATAAGAAAACTGTACAAAAACTTCTTCACACAAGTGATCAAACAAACTAATCCTCAAACATTTGATATCACCAAAGGCCGCATCAATATTCTATCACAAAGCTAGAAAATCACATGAACATTCGATGAAACATAACACATATTTTTAGCTTTTTCATGAGCATAACAAAAGGAAATTACTCAACCATTTATTCAAGGATCAAGACCTGCTTATTAATTATTCACAATGAAAATAAAATGGATTAAGGAGAAGGATCAACAAGAGCTATTTAAAAAACCCAATTCTAGCCACAATTCAACATCTAGCCAAATTAATATCTAAACTAATAAAAAAATCATGGAAAATTATATCTAAGTCAGGAACTAAAATATCATCATCCACACAAAAAATCAGCACAAAATCATGAAAGAATCATTAAAACTTAATTGTAAGAGATTAAAGAACAAAAATGAAATTAAATAAATAGCAAGGAGGTGTAATGGATCCAGAGGCTGGTGTAAATTGCAATGTGACATTAAGCCCAACCCAAGCCTATTCAACCTTATTTCCAGTTTTTTATTAGCACAATTGATTTTCTGATCCTCTTCTCCATCAACCACAGCGACGCGACATCTCAACCTTTGTTCTTCCTTCCGCAAAAGCTCTGCCGTGCTTTATTCCAGACTCGTCTCCGTTTCCCCTCGCCTCGGATCCAACATATCCATTCAAACTCCGATGCCAAGATATCGTTCTCCTTTAAGCTTCAACAACGACGATTCTTCTTCTCCATCTTCCGTTCGACCTTCGGCTTTCTCTAAACTCTACTCGAATTCAATCTTTGTCTCCGCTTCTACTCGACCGGAGAAAGTTCGGCGCCTGATTCACGCTGTCAATGAGAAGAGAATTACGACGTTAAATCCAGGGCTTTAAAATTCTAGAGGGAAGAATCGAGATGGTTTTAAACTGAAAGTAGAGGGAATTTAAGAGAGGTTATTGAGATGTTGAAGAATGAATTTAGTAGGTTAAAAAAAGTCAGACCACGGTTAAGTGTTTATTTGAGAGGTAGGTTTAGGGATTAATGATGGTTAGTTGTTTACTAGACAATTCTATTAATAGTTAGTAACTAAAGAAATTAGTTTGGATGACTAAAAAGATGTAAAAGAGAATTGTTAGAAAGTTAGTTGAAAGGCAAGGCTAGTTCATGGAAGCTGGTTTGATGCTAATAGTTTTTGTTTTGCATACTGATCCGGTTTTGGTTATGCAGGGGCTATTGATTAATGTGAACTGTTTTTCTGGGTATTGATGTATGATTCATGTTTGGATATGGCAGCAGGTTAATGATTTGTACTTGGTTCTGTTTTATGCAGGTTGCTTGATCAACAGGGCTGCAATGGCTAGATTTAATGGGGCAAAGACAAAGCTTGGTCATTACAATTATGATTAGGGCGTAAAGAGCTTGAAGGGGTTTAGCATAGGTTTGTGGATGGTGTATATACGCAACGAATTAGCCAAGTTTGAAGGGAGATCTTGAACATTCATGGTGCTTCGGCATAAGTTCAGGATTTAGACTTGGATATCATGTATTTGAATCTTTGTAAGACTTCCTTGTAATTTTGTAATGAATGATGATAGATTGTATAAATTTCGGACTTAGGAGTTGAGATTAAGTCTCGAATATCTCTCTTTATTATGTAATCTTTTCAAAATATTGTGAATGAATTTATTTGGAACTTGAATTTATGAAGAAAGTAGAACAATCAAATGACATATTAATGTTTGAATCCACACTTGAGTGAATCTTAGCAAACATGGATGCACTTTTATGAAATGCTTGATCTTGAATGAACCATGAAAATGTCCTGATAAAATTTACTTGAACTTGACATGATGATATTGGATGAGACGGATGATGTCAAAGTTTGACTTGGTATTGTGTATTTATAGTTTTGAATGAAAATGGATGAATTTTGTTTGATACAAACCACTCTTGCAAATAGTCTTTAATCAAGGTAAACTTTGAATGATGATGAATGACTCGAGTCTTGAAACTTGTGGGCCAAGAAGACCGCATGAATGAACCTTCCATCTTCAGCAAGCTTGAATTAATTATTGACAAATCATATTCTTAAGAACTTGGATCCAATCAATTAATTTTGAACACAAATTTAAATTTACGGAATCACTTGAATCAACTTCAAACCCAAATCATTTTGGACCCTTAACTTCAATTACTAATCCAAGTCATCTTGCGTTACACGCCACAATCAAATGAAAGAATGAACATGTCTTGAACAAATTGAATCCACAAATTCACCTTTTACGCCACGACTTGCAATTGTATTTCAACCCAACATAACAATAATGCCTTGAGAAACCCCTGAAGATATGAACTAAGACTTGAAGCATAACAGGGATGAAAACCTTAAATCTAGTCTTCAATTGATGAACCATAAACAAGTTCAAGCAAAGGACCTAAGCCTTAATTCCACCAACTATACTTAAAGAGGAAACTGATGAACCAAACTCAATTGCTGCATAAACCTTTAAACCACATAGAAGCCTTAGCTTCCAACCATGATTGTTGAAGAAACCAGTCGATTCAACCTTGAATAAAGATTAGAGCCTAAAAGAATAGAGAAATCTTATTTCTTGAAAATACCTGATCTCATGCTAAGTCTTGTGGTTAATGAATGCATGATGTTGTTAAATGACTTAATGGAAGGTATGCAGGTGAATTGAGAAGTGCAACATACCTAAGCCAGATAAAAGTGAAAGGGTAGGACAATTTGGGGTATGATAGTTGCTAAACAACGAGAAGATGATGCAAGAGCGTTGAAAGAAGCAGAAGAAGCCAAATTTAAAGCTCAAGAAGAAGAGGAAGCCAGAAAAGTTGAAGAAGCAAGGTTGGCTCAAGAGGTAGAAGAAGCTCTTAAAGCAAGTCAAGATGCTGTAACAGTATCTTCTTCTGATTCTCCCATTGCACGTTTAAAAAACGCAATTGGTGAGATTAGAGGAGAACAACAAGTTTTCAGAGAAAGCATCATTGAACATAAGGATGTAAATGAGAAGGTTCATAATATGTTATAGTTGACTCTGCAAAAGATTTATGCTCCTGCTTCTACTCTTCAACCCTAGGCTCTAGGATTTTCTTTTTTCTTTTGCTTCTGAACCACATGACCATGCTTGCTACTTACTTTTTGTGAATACTGTTTTACTTTAGTTTGATATTTCTGCAAGTATTCTTTTTGGATCTTAGTTTGTTCTACTTTCTTCAACTCACTTCTTATGTAACCTTTTGAAATTAATGAATTCTTCTTTTGGCTTATCACTTATTTTCTTACTTGGTATCTTCTTCTGATTTTTTATGTTTTTCACACACAATTACCTTTTTGATTATGACAAAAAGGGGGAGTAATTAAATGAACGTAATTTTGGTTTCAATAATCAAGTCTTGGAAAATGTTCTCTGAAAAGAGTTGCTTACATTCTAACCTAGTTAAAATGTTGCTTCTATTAGAATTGTTTTATTTTTTCAGGAAATGAGAAATCTGATTGAAGATAAAGATCTAAAAGCATTATGCAAGGCCTATGTCTAACCTGTTGGCTTCATACTTGGCTCCAAGAATTAAAATTTAGAATCAGACTCCAAGAATTGAGAATCTGGAAGCTGTTTTAGTGACATTAAAGTTTCAATATTTCAATTGATCTCATTTTCATTGGCATCTAGAGTCAAGACTCTCTAGATCTCAATATTTGATCTATTGGAACCGGAGAGAGTTCTACTCAAATGGTTCAGAGTCAGGATATTTGATCTTCATCAAGTCATTGACTCATGGGGAGTTTCATAAAAAGGATAAGTATTCCTTACCTTTTTATTTTTACTTTTTATGAGTATATGAATAAAATTGTTTCATCAAAATACATAGTTTTGTCATCATAAAAAAGGGGGAGATTGTAAGAACAATATTTGATTCTGCAATATTATCTATGAGTTTTGATTAAAACAAATGAGTATGTTTGTATGAACAATTTTGATACTATAATGTTTGTTATTTTTGAGTATTTAACAAATAGATCCTACTTCTGATGGATGGCGGGGCTAAGACATTGGAAGATAATTAATTCCGCTTCTATGCTACATAAGTTATGATGAACAGTAGCAAAACACTCCAGAAGACTCTGAAATGTAGGCTCTGATATGAAGTCTAAAGAAACTAGTCTGATGATCTGAAGGCAGAAGTTTCTACTAAAGTCTAGATGCTAAAGACTCATGTTTATGAAGATAACTTGTTATAAAGAAATATATCAGAAGCTCTGAAGACAGAAGTTTCTACTTAAGTCCAAATGCTGAAGACTAATGTTTCTAAAGACAAAGGATTCTAAAGACCAAGTGCTGAAGATTCTGATAGACGAAGTTCTAAAGACTCTGAATACTTGAAGTTCTAAAGATGCATGGTTCTAATAAAAGGGTTCTAAAGACCAAGTGCTAAAGACTTTGAAGACAGAAGTTCTAAAGACTCTAAAGACTTTAAGTTCTAAAGACCCAAGGTTCTAAAAAAATGTTCTCACGACCAAGTGCTGAACACGCAATTCTGAAGAATTTGAAGACTTGAAGTTTTGATGACCTTGTGTTATGTTCTCGCTTCTAAACTCATGCTCGTAGAAGCCTCTGAAGTTCAGAAAGAAAGAAGATAATATTAACATGGTAAAAATAGTACAAGGTACAATCTATGTTTCATTCCACTACCATGAAAGGACAGACATGTTGCACGTTCTTGTCCCCCACGCTATTGCTCAAGCCGCCAATGTTTTTGAAAATCCCAAGAGTACTCCTCAACGTATATATTATTTTATTGGATATATAAAGACTTGAAGACTAAGAGAGAAAGCTGCCAATCAACAAAATATCTATGCACAAAGCGATGTTCATAGCATTCATATTCTTAAGTCATTGTTTTTAAAATAGTTACATATTTAGCTTGTGTAGAAGCAATATCATTGTAAACAAAACTTGTATTCAAACCGTTGTTTGATTTCCTTAAGGGGCATACTAGGTTTGTATCCTTAAGAAGTCTAAGACTAGTGTGTCTTAGAGGTTTGAGTTTCTTTAAGGGTCCGGTTAGGTCTGTATCTTTAAGAAGTCTAGGACTTGTGTGTTAGAGGTTATTAGTCACTTACGAGTAGCTTGTGTATTGTAAAAATCAATTTGGTTATAGTGGATTAAATCTTTGATTGAGAGAGGAGAAATCACCTTGGAAGGTGGACTAGACGAGCTTGATAGTTTTCAAGTGAACTAGTATAAACATACCTTGTTCTTTACTTTCAGTTCTTAATTATTGTTATTATCAAGAGTGAAGGAAAAAGTATTTTAGTTAAAGGGGAAGATTTTTAAAAGAAAATTATTTATTTAAAACTCAATTCAAACCCCCGCTTTCTTGTGTTTTTCACACCTTTAGTTATAGATGATGATAAGAGTCCATAGAAAAAAGGACCAACTCAAAATCTTAAAAATTGATAGAGTTATGTGTAAGTACGAAGTGCGTCTAAGAGAGGGGGGGGGGGGGGGGTGAATTAGGTACTTTAAAATTTTTCTGGTTTTAGTGATGATGGATATTACTTTTATGGTTTATGGTGAGTTTATGAAAGAGTAAAGTGCAGAAAAATAAAGAGACACAAGCGATATATCCTGGTTCCCCTTACAGTTCGAGAGTACTCCAGTCCCCTTTCAACATGAAAGAGATTTCCTTATTGTGGCAAACTTAAACAAGAACTACCCAAAACCAAGAACAATCCTCTTGGATTTTCACTATGTCAACAATGAGAACAATCCTCTCAAAGTGACTTTACTTGTATCCAACAATTCTGGAAAAAACAAGATTTATAAAACACCTTGAACTTATTTCCAACAATCCTGAAAAATAAGCAAGTATC